TGACTTCCAAAAGCAATTCTCACCCCAATACTCCTTCTAGGTCACAGAGCTGTTATTGGCGAGCTTAAGCAGCGACGTTTTTGAGCGACGCACGTCAACCGGAAGTGATCCCTTTTCTCTTTTAGTAAGCCTTTACGCTACCGTATTTGTATTGCCAAGTGTCTTAATTCATATAGAGACGATCTGCCCAAAACTTTGTTCAAAATCACGGCTCAAGTGTGCAAAAAGTCCATTTCCGGTTGACGTGCGTCGCTCAAAAACGTCGTTGCTTAAGCTCCCTATTAAGAGGCGCGGGCCGGGGATTTCCGCAGGTTACTATAGTGTATGAACTGTGTCCCAGGCTACTTTCATAGGAAAATACAAGAAACATAGCACTAAAAGAAATCGCTAGCTGTTTTATTCCTCGCCTACTTGTTGTCTTTACCCAGCAACTTGAAATCTTAGTGACGTGACATCCTGAGGTCATTTGTGGGAGTTCAAGTTAGATCGTTCTAAAAGTCTGAACGGGCAATAGTTTGTATCATTTTAAAAAAGCGCGCTGAAAGACATCAAAAATCAAAGTTACTTCATGCATGAGATGAACCGTTTGCTTTGTCGCAGTAGTAAGCTGATATAATTTCAACTTAATTTGGTTACATAGATCTTTAGTGAGTAAGACAATCACAAGAAAAAATACCAGATTCCCATTTTTGGATATTTTTGAGTATTTAAAGAATACCCACAAAAATCCCAAATTTGGAAGAGTGAGACAAGTCCCAACCAGGAAACTTGGTTGGTAATTCCCTGGTTGGGACTTGTCTCACTTTACCAAATTAAATATGGGATTTTTATGGGTATTCTTCACATACCCTAAAATATCCAAAAATGGGAATCTGTTATTTTTTCCTGTGAGTAAAACGGAAGATTAAACTTACTTCAACTGCAAAGGTTGAAAAACAGGGGACCCAAGCAGTAGCCACCCTTTATACTAAACCCATCAACAGTAAACTGAATTTACGTTACCTTTCAGTAGTCTTTTAACAAATTCTGCAGAAAAACGACATGACATCAGTGCAAAATATTTTTGACTGCCTCTACACACCCAGGTGTTTTAGGAAAAAAATACTTCTACCTCTATACATTAGAACCATGAAGAAGGGAGACAGGAGTTTGGTCACTGGAGATGGGCGCGGCGCAGCATTGCTCTGCTACAGAAATGGCACCGAAATCACTGTTCTTATGTATGAAAAGAAGTCCTAAACGGTATGGTTTTCGTGCCGGCCCAAAAGCTATCCGATATAATGTGAACATAGCCTCACATTTTTCAATCTGTAAAATTCATTCTTTGAAAAGTATTCTGGCCTCCAAGGGGGCAAAAAACTCTAGTTTAGATCTCTCTCACGATTAGACATCCAAACAGGTGCTCTGCTAATCAGCTTTGGTTGTTTGCATTTCGCAGCAAAAAGGAAACAACTCAGCCATGGCGAACAGACAAGGTCATCAAAAAAATCCAAGTTCCTCTCCTAAAAATCCAAGGTATCCTTCCTATATCCTGAGTTCCTAACAGTGTTTCTAATAAAACATAGAAAGAAATAATTCTTTACCCACAGAAGGCTGAAATTGAGAATACCCTCCCTCCCCACCAGAAATTTAGAACGTTTTTGAAAAAATATCGATTTAATTACGCATTTTCGTTTTTTTCCCTCAATATTATCGCATGCATGTCACGAAAACCAGCCTGCAACGAATTTTTACGGAGAAGGACATGTATTGTACTTTATTAAGTACTTATCGAGCCTTCATCGATGCTCCATTCAGTGGTGAGTATATGTATTTTAAAACACGCACTTGAGATACGCTCAATGGAAAGTTATGTCGCAATTTTCAGAATCGCGAACGATGTTCTTTTGCGTGAGAAAAAATGAAACGTGCAATCAAAAAGCCACAGAAGTGTGCGAGTTTCGCACCAAAATTTTGGCCTTTTATAGCGCGCTTGCAGCTTGCAGCGCCCTCGCTTTGCGAGTTGCTTCGCAGACATACAGCGAATAAAGACCTCCTCAAGTTTTTGCTTTTGAAAAGTGAAAAACATCTCGGAAATTGCAACTAGACTGGAATATTTTTTTAGATTGCACTATCGATGAAGAAAATTAAAGAGAGCTGGCAAAACAGTTGCGGAAGAGGAAAAACAGAACAAGACGTATTAGTTTGTACTTGTACTTTTTTGGGGAGCTAGTTTGCTTATATTTAAGCTTCTCTCTTTAAACCGGTCATTTTACTAAAAATGATTCATTTTAAATGGCATTTTCAGAACAAAAAGTTAACATTACTTGTAATTCCCTAACTTCATATCCTTACCCTGATTATAATTTTTACCGCGCGTTTTTACTTGTATACTTAGATTTCTTTGTCATTTTGGAGAAGATTTGAAATACATGAAAAAATCTGGCAAAGGATGAATGACTCAGTATGTATATAATAAACAAATGCCACATGGAAAGTGCTTTGTACGGTATTTACGCGCTCGTTTTTTTGGCATCAGAAATCTCACTCGCTCGATTTCTGAACGTCAACAACTCTTGCGTAAATATTGCACGTGCGTTCTTTCCATGAAGTATTTTATACATGAATGTAGGAAATATGCCAGTCACCACAAAAACTAAGCATTAAAGAGCAAAAAGGTCAAGCGCTCTATAGTTACCGATTGAGATTTTCTCACGTGAACAATAGCCCTCGAGCAAATGTATTCCCAGCAGGGGAGGCTCACTAGAAAGGTCAACCCAGGACACCCGGGATGGATTTGATTTGTACAGTGCCCAGGCCTTATTTGCTTGGCCGCGCGTTGATCTGGCCCGGCTACTTCGACGCGGTGTTTCTCGTCCTTTTTGGATCATATCCTTCCCTCGTCAAAGTCTGCGGGATTCGTTTCTCTATCTGGGAAAGCTTCATTGGTTTCTATATCTGATGCTATCCTATTTCCACAATCCTAGCGTGTTTATTTACCGTTGGAGTTCGAATTTCGTGGAAAAAGCTGTATTGGAAAGGGAGCATGGCGGCCATGATGGCATCTTGTGTTTCCTACCTTGTATATAATATATTGTATAGAGAGTGAATTTGAACAAATTATTACGAAACGTCGTTGGAGCATTAAGGACAACAACAACTAACTGCAGAGTAAGTTTCATTGACCTTTATTTAGTATTTCCTACAAATTTTAGGATAGTATTTTTGCCCCATACAAACAATGTAATTTTACTGGAACCGCACTGTGGTACTATCACAGAACCTGGGCGCCTGCTGTGCCCACACCGAAAAATGCGCACAAATAAGAAAATCCTAGCCGTGCCTGAGATTCCCATGCTGCAATTCTCGCCTATTCCGATAGATGCCCACATATATCAATTTACTACGCCTTAATTTGCATCCTCCTCAAAATTTTTATGCATGTCATACGTTATAAATGCAAGACTGAAGAGAAGATCAGAGAACGTTATACTCGCTCCACAGGCAAGGTTAAAAAAAGCAGGGCACCCAAGCAGTAGCCCCCCCCCCCCTCCCCTCATAACATAACAATCAACAATAAATGGAAATTACATTACCTGCTACAAGTCTATCATGTTCTGCAGAAAAAAAAAACGGTAAAATTTAGTGTATTATACTACTAAATAAGAAATTGCTGCAATTTGATCGGCTTAGAGCAGTGGTATTTCAGCTTAATTTGAAATACCTACATGTGAAAATTACAAACCTTTTGCGGGTAATAGTATAAACAAATAATAGCATGATTTGTTAGTGATATTTGGCATAAATACCACTCGTGATATTTCCAAATTGTCTCAAATTTCACTCGCCTAATGGATCGTGAAATTATGTATAACAATTTCGAAATATCACTCGTGGTATTTATGCCAAATATCACTACAAGTCATGCTATTACCTATACAAATATTTTTCTCTACCTCTAAATACCACGGACGGCAGAGACGATTAGCTGGATTAATACACGGAGAATGCCGGGTGATTGAGCGTTGGTGTCAACACATAGACCTTTAGTGATTAAGACAACAAAACGGAAGATTATACTTACTCCATTAACAGGAAAGGTTGAAAAACAGTGAACCACAGCGTTAGCCACCCTTCATAATTATACCCATCAACAATAAATTGAATTTACATTACCTTCCCGTCGTCTTTCATCATGTTCTGCAGAAAACAAACGATAAAATTTACTGCAAAATATTTTTCTCTACCTCTTATAATACTACGGAGGACAGAGTAGTTTAGCTGGATTTATTCACGGAGAATGCCGGGTGGATTGATCGTTGATGTCACCACGCTACGCGAGGGTACGACTTCATTCTGACTTCCCAAGTCAATTTTCACACCAATACTCCTTCTACGTCATTTTTGGAATTCAAGTTACATCTTTCTAAAACTTTGAGCAGGGGAATTATTGCATCAGTTTAAAACATTGTAATTGTAATACCAAAAGAAGATAATAAGCACGCTGAAAGAATGGGATTAAAAGGTTGCTTTCCACTGTCGCGTATTTTTTCCGTGCGAACGCACGTAAAATTTACGCGCGTAAATGAAAAAGAGGCCATGTATGAAAGGCCTCGCGCAAACATGAAAGTTGAGGACACGAGGAGCCGCAAGCAGTAAAATTTCTGTCCCGTAATTTAATCAGTTAAATCATCAAAGTTGACAGGTCTTTCTGATTATCAAAGCGACCGTTCGGTTTACCATTTACACCTTCAGTGCGAAGACTGTCACGGGAACATTAACACCTTCAGGATAATTGCTTACCATGTGTGGTAGGTCGCGCGCGTCTGGTCGGTTTCGTCTCCAGCTCGCAACAGGAGACGCCCACGCTAGCTTCTCAACCGAGTGACGTATCATCAGGTATTCCTAATCAAAACGTTGATTCATTTGAATGTACAATTCTCTCTGATTTTCTTCCTTCTGGTCGTGGTTTTAAAATTGCAGGTTTAAACATTAATAGTCTTACAAAGCATATTGATGAACTAAGAATTCTCCTTGCCGATCGCTCCATTGATATTCTCTCAATTAATGAAACTAAACTTGATGACTCTATCAATAGTTGTGAGGTCCAAATACCAGGCTATGAATTTATTCGTCGTGATAGAAACAGACAAGGAGGAGGAGTAGGTTTTTATATAAAAACCTCGATTAATTTTGGAGTTCGCTCTGATTTGAATGCACCCAGTCTTGAAAATTTATGTATAGAGATTCGGAAACCAAACTCCAGGCCATTTCTGATAGCCACTTGGTACAGACCTCCTTGCTCCTCAATTGATTTATTTTTACATTACGAATCATTTCTTGAGAAATTAGATTCCCTCGGCCTAGAATAATATCTGCTAGGTGATTTAAACTGTAACCTGGCCTCTGCACAATATGATTTAAATACTCGACGCTTATGTGAAATTTCTGATTTATTTGGGCTTCAACAGCTTATAACTGAACCTACTCGCATAACGGAATCCTCTTCAACATTAATTGATTTAATTTATACAAACTATACTGACAGGGTAGTCTGTTCCGGAGTCTCTCATATTGGTATCAGCGATCATAGCCTTATTTACGTTTATAGGAAATTATCTCTCACTTTTCCTTCAAAAAGGGCACTCAACCATTTCTTATAGAAATTTCCAAAATTTTAATAGAGAGAGTTTTCGTAACGATATCGCTCAGCAAGACTGGTCCTGTAATGTTTCTGAAGATCCAAATGTTTTGTGGACTGACTGGAAAACGAAGTTTTTGGATATTGTTAATATTCATGCGCCACTCCGAACTAGACGTACTAGAACAAATAAAGCACCCTGGATCAATTCAGAATTAAAGAAAGGCATGCGTGATCGTGATGCTGCCAAAAGAAAAGCAATTACATCGAATGATCCACACGATTGGAAAAGGTACAAAAAGTTGCGAAATATAATAAACAATGACATCAAAATTTCTAAAGCATCTTATTATTCTAATGCATTTATTCAATCTAAGGGTAATCCTCGAAAAACGTGGCAAACCTTTAATGAGCTTACATCCCGTCGTGTGAATAATACAACGGTGAAAGAACTGAAATTGAATGATACCATTATCTCTAATTCTAGTGAGCTTTCTGATGCTTTTAATGACCATTTTTCAACAATTGGGCCCAGACTTGCTAATGAAATACCTCTAACTGCTGAAAATAATTCAAGTTATATCAATAATATAAAGGTAAATAACAACAATTTCAGCTTCTCCTCGACTAACTGCAGCATTGTTTTCTCACATCTAAACAAATTATGTAGATCTAAAGCAACTGGTCTTGATAATATTTCTGCTAAAATTGTACGTGAATGTGCTGATCTTATTTCAGTTTCACTATGTGATCTCTTTAATAAATCTTTAGTCTCTGGTATATTTCCTGATGATTGAAATGTGCTAGAGTTACTCCGTTGTTCAAGGAAGGTGAGCCATCTGATCTGAATAATTATCGACCTATTTCAGTCATTTCCGTTATAGCTAAAGTGTTTGAAAGGATTGTTTATGATCAGTTGTATAACTTTTTGACCAATGAAGATATCATTTCTAATCATCAATCGGGTTTTCGCTCGTTACACTCAACTGCAACTGCCCTTCTGGAAGCTACGGATAATTGGGCCTTTAATATTGATCGTGGCAATGTTAATGCTGTGGTTTTCCTCGATTTAAAAAGGCTTTCGACACCGTTGACCACGATATCCTTCTAGCTAAAATGAACCTTTACGGAATACAAGGTACAGCTCTTGATTGGTTTAGGTCGTATTTAACTAATCGTACACAACGATGTCTTGTTAACGGTTCTCTTTCTAGAATCTGCTCTCTTAAATGTGGGGTACCGCAAGGAACAATCCTTGGCCCCTTTTTATTTCTTATTTATATTAATGACTTGCCAAACTGTTTTACTTCGTGCCAGCCTAGAATGTATGCCGATGACACCCACATTACTTATGCTGGCGTTGATGTGAATTCAATACAGTTAACTCTGAGTCACGATTTAGATAACCTAAACAAATGGCTTATTTCCAATAAACTTACTTTGAACACTTCTAAAACTGAATTCATGCTAATTGGCTCCAGACAAAAATTGAGTACTTTGTCGAACCCACTTGAGCTCTCGATTAATAATGTTCCGATAGAACACGTTTCCTCTGTCAAATCGCTTGGAATATTTATTGATGAAAATCTACGGTGGCAAACACACATTGATAAATTATCTAAAAAGGTCGCTTCCGGAATTGGAGCAATAAAAAGAATTAGACCTTTTGTCCCCCCACCTACCCTTCACTATATATACAACTCACTAATTCAATCTCATTTCGATTATTGCAATCTTGTCTGGGGTAATTGTGGTAAAACATTATTTGACAGGCTACAGAAGCTTCAGAACCGTGCCGCTCGCGTTTTAACCTTCTCTAGCTATGATGCTGATGCTAACCGTTTGATTAGACAACTCGATTGGAAAGACTTGAGCACTCA